TCTGAGCTCCTACATTAACAAATTGGAGAGATCTGAAACTAACAATTTAATGACACAACCAAACCTCCTTGAAAAAGAGCAGCAAGATAAACCCCAATCCAGTAGACAGAAAGAAATAATCAAAATTAAATCAGAATTAAATGAATTTGAATCCAAATAAACTACAGAAAGAATCAACAAAACAAAGAGTTGGTTCTTCGAAAAACTTAACAAAATTGACAGACCCTTAGCAAATCTTATCAGAAAAAGAAGAAAACACACCCAAATTAATAAACTCAGAGATGAGAATGGAAACATCACCACGGAAACAACCAAGATTCAGAACATTATAAGGGAATACTTCTCAAAACTTTATGCTAATAAGTTTGAGAACTTGACAGAAATGGACCTTTTCCTAGCAAATATTGACATGCCCAAAACTAAACCAAGATGAGTTAAACGATCTTAACAGGCCCATATCAAGCACTGAAATAGAAACAGCAATAAGAGACCTCCCAGCTAAGAAAAGTCAAGGACCAGATGGTTTTACAGCGGAATTTTACAAGGCCTTCAAAGCAGAGCTCACACCAATTCTCCTCCAACACTTCAATGAAATTGAAAGAGAAAGCTCACTACCGAACACATTCTATGACGCCATCATAACCCTCATCCCAAAACCAGGCAGAGACTCATCAAAGAAAGAGAACTATAGACCCATTTCTTTGATGAATATTGATGCAAAACTTCTCAACGAAATCTTGGCCAATCAACTTCAACAATTCATCCAAAAAATCATACACCACGATCAAACAGGATTCATTTCAGGGACGCAAAGCTAGTTCAATATACGCAAATCAATTAATATTATTCATCACATCAACAGGAGCAAGGATAAGAACCACATGGTTATCTCAATAGATGCAGAAAAAGCATTCGACAAGATCCAACACCCCTTTATGATGAAGGTTTTGGAAAAATTAGGAATCCATGGAACATTCCTCAATACAATAAAGTCTGTATATGACAAACCTACAGCCAGCATTATACTCAATGTTGAAAAACTAAAGCCATTTCCTCTTAACTCAGGAACAAGACAAGGATTCCCACTCTCTCCACTTCTCTTCAATCTAGTATTAGAATGCCTAGCTACAGCAATAAGACAAGATGCAGACATAAAGGGGATCCAAATAGGGAAAGAAGAAATAAAACTCTCCCTCTTTGCAGATGACATGATCTTGTATTTAAAGAACCCCATAGACTCCACTCCCAAATTACTCAAGCTGATTCAAAACTTTGGCAAAATAGCAGGTTATATTAACCCCCAAAAAACAATGGCTTTTCTGTATGCCAACAATGAGAAAAGTGTGGCTGAAATTAGGAAAGCAACTCCATTTGTAATAGCCCCACAAAAAATAAAATACCTAGGAATTAACTTAACCAAAGAAGTGAAGGACCTCTATGATGAAAACTTTAAAATCTTGAAAAAGGAAATCATCACAGAACTAAAAAAATGGCAAAGCCTCCCATGCTCCTGGATTGGAATGATTAACATCGTGAAAATGGCAATACTTCCCAAAGCTATCTACAAATTCAACGCAATACCTATCAGAATTCCAACCTCATTCTTCAAGGAAATAGAAGAGGCAATCCAAAACTTCATATGGAACAATAAAAGACCCCGAATAGCAAAAACGCTCCTCAACGGAAAGAACACTGCTGGAGGAATATCAATACCAAATTTCAAACTCTACTATAAAGCCATAGTAATCAAAACAGCTTGGTATTGGCATAAGAACAGACCTCAGGACCAATGGAATAGAATTGAAAACCCAGAAATGAACCTACAGACCGGTAGCCATCTAAGGGAGCTAAAACAATAGAATGGAAGAAAGACAGCCTCTTCAGTAAATGGTGCTGGCAAAATTGGTTAACTACATGTAGAAAACTAAAGCTAGATCCTTATATATCACCCTGCACCAGAATCAACTCCAAATGGATCAAAGACCTTGAAGTCAAAGCAGACACTCTGAAAACATCACAGGATGGAATAGGAGAAACCCTAGGTCTCCTTGGCTCAGGCTGAAATTTTCTGAATAGAGACCCGGAAACACAACAAAAATCAAAGAAAGGTTGGACATGTGGGATTGCATAAAGTTGCAGAGCTTCTGCAGGGCAAATGACATAGCTAGCAAGATCAATAGAAAGCCCACGGATTGGGAGAAGATCTTCACTAGCCATACAACGGACAAGGGTCTCATATCTAAAATATACTTGGAACTCAAAAAATTAAACCCCCCAACAACAAATCCTCAAAGAAACAACTGCCCGATAAATAAGTGGGCGAAAGACTTAAAGAGAGACTTCTCTGAAGAAGAAAGAAGGATGGCCAATAGACACATGAAGAAATGTTCAACATCCCTAGCCATAAAAGAAATGCAAATCAAAATAACATTGAGATATCACCTCACAACAGTTAGAACGGCAAAAATCAAGAACTCTAACAACAACAGATGCTGGAGGGGATGTGGACAGAAAGGAACCTTACTTCATTGTTGGTGGGAATGTAAACTTGTTCAACCACTTTGGAAAGCAGTATGGAGGTTCCTCAAAAGACTTCACATAGAACTCCCCTATGACCTAGCAATCCCACTTTTGGGCATTTATCCAAATGTTTACAAACAAGACCACACTAAAGCTACCAGCACAACAATGTTTATTGCAGCATTATTTACCGTAGCTAAGATATGGAACCAACCCAGATGCCCCTCAGTAGATGAATGGATCAAGAAAATGTGGTATATATACACAATGGAATTCTATGCCTCCATCAGAAAGAATGACATTGCCCCATTTGTTAGGAAATGGAAAAACTTGGAAAAAATGATATTAAGTGAAGTAAGCCAGGCCCAAAGAAACATAGGTCCCATGGTTTCCCTTATTTGCAATATCTAGTATATGTATGAGTCAAGCGGAAAAGGTCAGATAATATGATGTCAGGAAAATGAACCCTTAGATATGTATTTTAATGTTTTTTTCTTTCATGCCTGTGTTTCTGACGCACTTATAAGATTATCTCTTTGTTGCTTCGTATGTCCCTCCCCCACAGTATAACCCCTGCTTTCACTATATTTGATGTCAGTATAACTTGTGGAGATGGGGAAAAACCAGTTGTTTAAGGATACATGTGGACCAGTTGCAACAATGAGAAGTACAAGTTGTCATGTCCAAAACGAGCATTACAACGTTGGTTGGGGGGGGGGGGGGAAGTGGGGAAGGAGAAGGATTGGGATTGGGGGGAGGGGGGAGGCTGGGAAGGGATATGAAGGGTATACCAAAGGAGGAGGCTGCAATGCTTGGTAAGAAATGTACGCATTATCCTGCCCATGTAATTGTAACCCCTCTGTACAGTTTGTTCACAAAAAAAAAAATTAAATTAAAAGAAAATGTATACTTCTTTATTTATATAAATAGGGTTTTTAAACAATAGTATTTAAAAGAAATCTGCATTTTTACATTCACCGTCAGTGAATTCCTGACAGGGAAGCCTGAGCATGATGATACATAGCAAGGTCCCACTGCAGGACAACAGTAGCTCAGGAAAGCACCATTCATTTGAGAAGCAGTAAGCAGGCTCTGGCATTCCTGTTGCACTGCTGGCAATGGGAAGTCTTAGACCTTTTCCTCCACAAGACTTCTTCAAATTCCCCCTGTTCATCAGCAGTGGCATCTTGGCACTGCTGATACTTGGACACCAGGTCGTTGATGTTGTTCTCAGCCTCAGTGAACTCCGTCTCGTCCATGCCCTCGCCCGTGTACCAGTGCAAGAATGCCTTGTGCCGCAACGTGGCACTGAACTGCTCTGAGGTGTGCTTAAAGGGTTCCTGGATGACCGTGTTGTTGCCAATGAATGTGGCCAACATCGTGAGGCCATGCATGGGAATGTCACACACAGGTGTAAAGCAGATGTCATACAGGGTCTAGTAGTCGATACAGAAAGTTTCATTTGCATTTTCCACCAACTGGTGGACAGACAAGATGATATTGTAGGGTTAGGTGAGGATGATAGGGTTAGGTGGATAAAGGCTCAGCCCAGCACTGGGAACTAGAGTGTTTGGATGTTAGGGAGGAGGGGTGCCTGTTAGCCATCTCCTATGGACTATGATGACATACCAAATATGAAGTTGTCTGGTCTGAAACTCTGGCCAAATGGTTCCGATCTCACTGAGTCTAAGGTGCCAGTGTCCAACATCTTGGGCAAGGGATGACCCTGAAGGTGTTCATGATTCTATCTGGGAACTCCTCTCAGATCTTGTTGAGAATCAGGGTGCGCATGCCTGACCTGGTGCCACCTCCCAGGGAGTTGGCCAGCTACAAACCCTGGAGACAGCCACACCATTCTATCTCACCATTTCCAGCACTGATTCCAGCAGCTCGGCTCCCTCTGTGTAGTGGCTGTTGGCCCTGTTCTGGCCTATCAGACACAAAGACATGATGAGACACATACTCCAGGAATAATGACTGTGCTATTTGCATTGTGAAGGCTATAGGCTCTTCTGAGCAACTTTTGCTATTATTTTAGATACACTTTGGTGGAATAAAGAAAATGTTTTCTTTTTTGGGGTCCAGTTGTGGGCCTGAACTCTGGACCTGGGCGCTGACCCTCAGTTCTTCAGCTCAAGGCTAGCGCTCTACCACTTAAGTCCTGAAGTCGTTCCCTATTATTGCCAGGCATTTGAAATCGCCATCAGAGCTGAAACCTTGTTGGAAGCTTTCCTTGCTCCCTCGCTGTTCATTCCCTTCAGAGGCTGCTTGCAGACTGGCATTTATCTGTGCTGATTGAGTGGCCAGGGACATGATATGACTGAAATAAGTGGTTTAGGTGAGGATGATATCTAGATGGATAAAGGCTCAGCTCACCACTGGGAACTGGAGTGCCTGGATGTTAGGGAAGAGGGGTGCCTGTTAGCCATCTTCCATGGACCATGATGACATACTAAATATGAAGTTTCTGGTCTGAAACTCTATGGTTCCGATCTTACTGAGTCTAAGGTACCTGCCTCTAGGTCCCCCATGATGGCCCGAGGAACATATTTGTTGGCTGTGGGAACAAGAGTTGACTTAGGCCTATACTTGACAAGGAACTTAGGGGCAGAGCTTATGATTCTAAGTGACTCTCAGCATTCATTACAGAAATTACAGCATTTCAGACATGGAAACAGAAAGGATATCTTGAGCATGAACCCCCATGCAAGAGGCTTCAGCAACTTTAAGGACGTTGGCAGTTGTCTATTTTCATGAATATTCATTCCTTTGCTTTGGGTATGGTGGCTGAAATCTCAGCTAAGTAGGAGGCAAAGATGAGCATCAGGCTTTGAGTCTAATGGGGCAAAAGAAAGATGACAATATTTTTTTTGGTTCATCATGGGGCTTGAAGTCTGGGCCTGGGCACTGTCCCTCAGCTCTTCAGCTCAAGGCTAGCACTCTATCACTTGAGGCACAGTCCCACTTTCAGTTTTCTGAGTTGTTTATTGGAGATAAAGGTCTCAGGGACTTTCCTGCCCAGGCTGGATTTGAACCATGATTCTCATTTCTCAGCCTCCTGAGTAGCTAGGATTACTGGTGTGAGTCACCATTGCCTATCAGCAAGAACCTTTCTCTTTTTTTGTTAATTTTGTTTTTATTGGAAAGGTGCTGTATAGAGGAGTTACAGTTACCAGAGTAAGGAAATGAGAACATTTATTGTCGAGCATTGTTACACACTCCTTTGTTGTTCTCCCACTATCCCTTCCCTTCCCCAATTACCTTTCTCAAGTAAGTAGCTAAGTGCTGAGCACCAGTGCTTCATGCCTATAATCCTAGCTACTCTGAAGTTAGAGATCAGAGGATCGCTGTTCAAAGCCAGTCTGGGCAGGGTAAGTCTGTGAGACTCTTATCTTCAATAAACTAACAGAAAACCAGAAATGGAACTGTGGCTTAAGTGGTAGAGCTGCTTGCCTTGAGCTGAAGAGTTGGGGCACAGTGTATAGGCCCAGAGTTTAAGCCCCACTGCCAACAAAACAAACAAACAAACAAACAAACAAAAGAGCCAGGTGTAGCTCTTCAGCAAGTAGATGTAGGGGGAATTCAAGTATAATGCTTTCCTGGGAAAAATACATAAAATACATATTTCTTGTGTTATAATGTTTCAATAATTGTTATCAAATAGCACATTTCCCTGTATTCAAATACTCAGAGCAACCTTGGACAATTACTTGCAATTTGCCATTTAACCTGATTTGTCAAAAGGGGACATCAGTTAAAATGATATAAACATCAGTTTGAGACTGTCCCCTTTCCTAAACAATCACATGAAGAAAACTGGCCATCCTATCCTGCCTGATACACAGGATCTAATAAAGACACAACATAAAATACTGTTCATACGAGTGACACAATCCCACACAATGACTCTTAACCAAGGAACCACAAGATTAAAGTCATATATCTTACTTAAACTATATTAACACAAAATACCAAGGTGAGGACATCCCAAAATGTAGATCCATAAAACTCCAATACATTAAATAGCTTTGTCCTTTTGTTTGCACTTTTTCATTGGTTTATTACACAGGAGAACCAATTATCTACGATTCTGTTTGTATACAATAATGTAGAATGGAAACTATATAAAATTAAATGAATTTCACATTGACTGTTACAAAAACTGAAAATCTACTCTGTAGACTTCAGTTAGGTTGTTTGTATTAGGAAAGACAATATGAATCATTTAAAAGCAATGTTTACACATTATTATTGGGTTTTTCTACATCACAGCAATGTTTTTTACTTTAAAAACTTTCAAAAGAATTGGTTGTTGGCTAAGTATTCATATTCAAAATACTCAAGACCAGAACTGTTATAGATTTCAGGGTGAGACACTTTGTGCTTTGTGATTTGGACTATTCACATATATATTAGTGACTGAACATCCCTCTTTAAAATTTTCAATTTCAAAATGATTTTGAGAAATTTAATCTGTATTTTAAAGAGGGCAATGCAACTGGGCTCTGGTTCCTGAAGGGTGTAATTCTAGCTACTCAAAAGTCTGAGATCTAAGGATCGCAGATTGAAGCCAGCTGGGGCAGGAAATTCTGGGAGACTCTCCTCTCCAAGAAACTACCTGAAATATTTGGTGCCATGCCACCTCCTGCGGAATCTGCATGAGATATCACCTTAGACAAAGACCTTCAAGGAAGCATGCCTGCAGGAAGAGTGTGTTGGTTCAAGGCTTCCCATACACTCGGCTGCACCTTTATATCCTCTACCTTTATTCTTACTTTATTCTTACCTATATTCTTCTTGGCTGTACATTCATTGCCTTTATTCTCGTTTTGGCTATTTTTCTATTGATCCACGAACAAAGCATGTTGTTTCTTTCCAGTCCAATAGAGATAGCTTCTCTAAATAGTAAAGACTAGGACCAAAGATTAAATGTGGGCAATGCCCCAATCAATCTATCGTCTGATGTGATGCTACCTCCAAAACTCCTACAACTTCACAAGTGGTTTTGTGGCTCACGCATAGTAAATATAAAAACAAAATTTCCAGATATGTTAAAACAAGCAGAATTAATGAATTAAACTAAGCTAGAAGGAGTTATCCCAGAAGCTCAGAGAGTTCTAAAAATAGGAACCCCTGATAATAAAAGGAAAAGAAAGATTCCCCCAACAGTTATGATTAAGTTTAGTCCAGCTTACATTATAGGGGATAGATGGTGGTTTCTCACAAAATATAAAGTTAGTGACATCACATTTCCTGAACCGACTGATGAACCATTGCCTTATACAGGAGCTGATAAAGATGTAAGTAGATAGATTAATGTAAAAGACAAAAAGGTATTTTTGGAACTCATTAGATTTTGTGCAAAGATTAGGTAGATCTAGACCATTATTGTGTTTATTATTAAAACGACAATAAGATAGTTTAAATTAATAATTAGAAATTTATGTGAACAAATATTGGGATTAAAATTATAGAAAACGGAGAATGTTTGAAACAACCTGGAAGTGGTTTTTAGGATAGTTTCAAAGGGACTTAAAAATATATGAAAAAAATAAAAAGAGTACAATATAAGTACAACCCTGTCTTAGGTTTGTTAATTAGTAAACATAAAAAGGCTGAATAGATGACGCATTCTATTTACCTATATGCTTGACTTGTTTCACATCACTTAGCTTAAACAGTTGGTGGGATAGTCATCAATTTTCATGTAATCCATCAATGCTTTGCTTTTCTTAAAAATTGATTACGTGCTTAAATAAACAAAAAAATCTATGTCACAATCTCACACTGTATAAAAATGTTAATTCTCCTCAATAAAGATACACTCAGATTCAACTCTTTTGAGTCTGTGTCTGTTTGTCACTTCGTAGACTCCTTGCCCACCTATACCGAGATCTTTGTCCCACCGGTCCCAGTGCTCCGGCCGAGCTGGTCTTTCGCAAGTTGGTACTGGAGATGTGGCTTAAGTGGTAGAACATTAGCCTTTAGCAAAAGAAGCTCATGGTCACTGCCCAGGCCTTGAGCTTAGAAGGACGACTAGCACACAACAAAATGGAATTGAATGGTATTTAAATTATATTTTATCAATTGTTTTAGAATACATATTTAGGCAGTCTCATTTTTAATGATGTAAAACAGGCTCATGCCTGTAATTCTCACTACTCAGGAGGCTGAGGTCGGAGGATCACAGTTCAAAGCCAGCCAGGGCAGGAAAAGACGGTGAGACACTATCTCCAATAAACCACCAGAAAACCAGAAGTGGCGCTGTGGCTTAAGTGGTAGAGCTGCTTGTCTTGAGTTGAAAAGATGAGGGAAAATGCCTATGCCCAGAGTTGAAGCCCCATGACCAAAAAAAAAAAAAAATCCAGGTGTGGCTAGTCAGCAAGTATAGGTAGGGGGAATTCAGTAAAAGGCTTTCCTGAGGAAATTCACAAGAGTATACTCAAAAATTAAAACAAGATATATGGTGGAGTGGCTCAGGTGGATCCAGCACTTGGCTTACAAGATCAAGGCCCCAAATTCGAACTACAATACCACCCTAAGAAAGGCAGGAACTCCTACCTTGTCATTAGTATTCCCCGGGGACCTATTCTGCCACGGTATTGGAAGCCAGAGGGAGATACTCACCAGCTGCCTCATTGTAATACACCTCGACTCTCTGCAGCTGTACGCTACTTTCTCCATAGTAGTTGCCAGGGCCGTCAATGTTGTGCTCATCGCTTAGATTTCCCAAAACTGAGATGGAAATAGAAGTGTATTATGGCATAGAATGTTAGCTGTCCAAACAATGGATTTTAAAATAACTATAAGAAACCCAAGTCCTGTTGACACAAATATTTTTGTAAAAAAAATTAGATTTTCTAAATTTAAAAAAGCACAAAAATTGATGGTATTTTAGTTTTGTTAATCTCTTTGCTATCTGGCTGAATAGACACCATCTAGGTTCTCCTATGAGTATTCCATCTTATGGGATGCCATATTCTGTTTGGATTCTATGATGAGAACCTGGCCTTACATGGACATGAAATTGCCAAAGCAGTAACTTGAAGACTCAGCTAGAAGGGTCTCCAGAACCACAAGGGTCCTCAGAGCATACACCGACAACCACTGATTTAGAAAACACCCAACTTAAGGGAGCATGAAAACTCAGAGAAATTTGCATTAAGGTGGAAGAACTGTTCTCAATTATCAGTTACTCATCAGTTGACAAAAAGGGAATCCTCTGTATCTGTCAGCTCAAAGACACTGCACTCCTTTCATTCAAACCTGACCAAAAATGCAATAGTCTATTCCCAGGAAAGTAAGTACAATGACTTGAGTCTAAGGTAAGATTAAGACATGCAAGGGATTTGAAACCACCCCAGCCTTGCTTAAAAAAACACACCCATCTGGGCCACACAAATTAGGGAAATTGGGGAAGCTATCTGGTGGACTTGATTTCCAGGAAGTTAGGGACTACTATGAAGCCCCACCTACCTCAGCCTAGACATGACCACCACCACCTCCACCCTACAACACCATCCTCTTCCTCCTCATCCCCCTAAATTTGAGACTAGGATCCTAGGCCAGTGCCATGCTCCCCTTTGCACCAATCTGGCTGCCACAGTGGCCTGCCTGTATGTACACGATCTCCCTCATGGTGTAGGGCTGCAGAGCAGTTGGATGTGTGTCTTCAGCATTGGTGCACACAGAGGCAAACAGGTAGGGCTGGGGAGCAGGAATCTAACACAGCCAACTCAGATCCCCATTTAAAACTCTGGTTGTTACAGGGGCAGAGGCGGTGGGGTGAACTTGGTAGGCAGAGCCAGCAGGTGCTCCAACTCAGTCTCACTACTGCTGGGTAATCAGAGAAAGCTACCAGTTACCACTTAGCTTTGGCATCCAGCTGTCAGCCTCAAATCAATTAGCACAGTTGCCACTCTATTTGGAACCTCTTGTCACACTGCCACCCACCTCCCCACCCTGACTCACAAAAGAAGCTGAACCCTGGGATCCAGGAAGCAAGAGAAGGGGCTTCCTCTACACAAGGTACTTGTTCCAGAAGCCAAGAACAAGCCTACATTCAATTTTTGATTGGAGGCCCTAGAACTGAAGGGGCACTTTCAGCTGTGATCCCAAGAACAAGCACAAACTGTTGGATTCCGTGACTGATCCACTTTCCATTCTGGGAAGAGTCAGGGGTTTAGGGCCTTGCCTTCATACTCAGGTTTTCTTTTCTTTTCTATTAAAAGTAGCTTGCTTTATTACTTAAGCCATAGGTCTACTACAGTCTACTTTTTGTTTCATTTGGCTTCTGCTCCGAGCGTGAGAACTCAGCTCCTGTTCTGTGTGTGTGTGTGTGTGTGTGTGTGTGTGTGTGTGTGTGTGTTTGGCCGGAGTTAGGCAGGTTGGTGTTAGGGCTTGAAATTAAGGCCTGGTGACTCTTTCTGAGATGTTTACTATTATTGAGATTAGGTGATTACCTAAATTTCTCTTATTTCAGAGTATTGTAGAATAGTGATATTTAGTTGAAGTCACAAACATATTTTAACCTTCACAATGCAAATTGTCATTATCATGGTCGATAAATTTGTGAATTCTATAAGCTTTGACAATTCAATTCTATAAGCTTTGATAATACAATAATTTCTTCCTGGTGATATTTACATTTCTTTCCTTTTGCTTACTGTAAGATGTTCTGTCTTTCACACTCATTCTTCTCCTCTCTTTCTGAGGTTTTATTGATTTACTTATTTAACTGAAGGTTAGATGGCTCTACTACTTGAGCCACAGCTAAACTTCTGCCTTTTTTTAAGTGGTTAATATGAGGCAAGAATCCCATGGGTAGTCCAGGGCAGTACAGAGAGGCTTGAAATCTGAGGAACAGAGTTCAAAGTCAGCCTGGGAAGGAAAGTCAATGAGACTTTTATCTCCAGTTAACCTAATAGGCGGAAGATAGTAGAGCTGTAGCCATGAGCAAAACGCTTCAAGTTTAAGTCCCTCTATTGAACACACTGAAGAAAGTTTCATGGACTTTTCTGACCAGGATGGATTTGAACCATGATCTACAGATTTCAGTGTCCTTAGAATTCATAATAATAAGTGTGAGTCAACATTTACAAATCTGTAATTACCTCTTCTTTCACCTTTTCAGTTATTTATTATTTCTCTCTTTCTTTTTGATATTTGTTCTTAGGTGCTAGTTCTTATGCTGTTTTTTTTTTTCTTTCTCTTGAAACTACCATGCTCTACAACTTTGACCACAGGTGAACTACAGGCTGTTTTTCTTTTTTGTAGCTCTGTTTCTAGGGCTTAAACTCAGGTCACAGTGACTGAGTTTTATTTTTTTAAATTGAGTGGTGGTTGTTATGTCTTGAAATTAAGTCACGATGACTTTCCTTGAGGTTTATTTATTTTTACATTAATAGAAGCTGGTTTCACTACTTGAGCCACAGCTCAACTTTTGCATTTTTTGTGGTTAATAGGAGATTAGAATATCAAGAGCAACTCAAGAGCATTACAGAGAGGACTGAAATCTGAGAATCATGGCTCAATGCCAGTCTTGGGCAAGAAAGTCAATGAGACAATTATCTCTAATAACCATCAAGAGGTAGGAAGAAGTAGACCTCTAGCCATGAGCAAAACATAGCAAGTTCAAGACCCCATACTGAACACAGTAAAATATGTCTCCTGTACTTTCCTACCTGCGCTGGCTTTGAACCACAATCCTCAGATTTCAGTAATCTGAGCAGGTAGAATTAAAGTTTTGATTTAGAAAGCCTTAATATGTTCCTTTTTGCACCTTTTCATTTATTTGGTGGTCCCTTCCCACTTTTTCAAAGTTCATGTCCTTTATTATTAGGTCCTACCTGTTTATGCTTAGCATTTATTAAATTAATCATTTTACTGATTTTGTGAGTTGTGGGGCTTGAACTCAGTGCCTAGGCACTGTCCGTCAGGGACACAGCAGGCATACTGCTACTTTCAGACACAGTGCCACTTCTACTTACTTGGAAAAAACAGTCACCAGGGGACTTTTTAGACTAGGCTGGCTTCCAAATGTGACTCACAGATCTAAGCTTCCTGAGTAGCAAGTATTATAGACATGAGCCAGAGGCACCTGGCTTGTTTTTTTTTTGTTTGTTTGTTTTTGTTTTTTTTTTTTACATCAATACTACCAGGCTCTACATTTAGGCCACACTACTTCACTGTCGATGAGATTTTTGGCCTTTTGTTTTTTGCTCAAAGCTAGCAGGAACAAAAACTCAACTCCTGAAGGGTTTTTTTTTTGGCAGTGGGGAGGCTTGGATTCAAGGCCTAGTGACTCTCGCTGAGGGTTGTTTTGTTTCATTTCAAAGCTAGCAGGCTCTACTGGTTGAGCCTCAGCTCAACTTCCGCCTCTATTTTTCTTTTAGTGGTTAATAGCAGATAAGAGTCCCATGGGAACCAAAGCACTACACAGTATCCTAAAATCTAAGGATTACAGTTTGAAGCCAGCCTGAGCTGGAAAGTCCATCAGTCTCATCTCCAATGAACCACATGAGACAGGAAGTAGTATTTTTAAACTTGAGTAAAAACCCTTAACTTCAAGCCCATGTCTAGCACACTCAAAAAGAAGTTAGTTGGACTTTCCTGCCCAGGCTGGATTTGAACTCTGATCTTTACATTTCAGCTTGTATTAAAGGTATGAGTCTATATTTAAAAAAAACTAATTGGCTCTTTTTTCTTCACATACATTTATTCATTTGTTTGTTCCCTGTCTTGTTTTTAGGGCCTCACCAATCTTGCTGAAGGGTAGCATGCTCTAAAACTTTAGTAACAGTTGCAATTTGGTTCATTTTTTGGCTTTGGTGGTTTGTAGGAGGTAAGTATAGACACTCCCACAGGGTCCTGAATTATACTGATTATGATTCAATGTCAGGGGACAAGGAACATTCATGAGACTCTTATCTCAAATTAACCTCCAAAAGATTGGAAATGGTCAAACAAAAACTTGTACTTCATATCACAGAAAGGAACACACACACACTCATACGCACGCACGCACATTCACACACACACACACACACACACACACACAATGGGATTTCCTCTCCTGGCTGGCTTGGAATAGGAATGCTCAATTTCAGTGTTTTGAGTAGCTAGAATTACAAGTGTGAGCCACCAGTTTCTTGTTAATTTTATCATTTTTAAGACTCTTTGTGCTCTCTTCCACTTTTAAAAAAAATTATTGTGGTTGTCTTAGTGCTATATCTGTTTTTCACTTAGCTTTATTTTTTACTTTTTTTCTTAGCTTTTTCTTAGCTTTTTTATGTTCAATTTTGCTGCTCTACCACTTCAACAACAGTTCCAATTCTTTTTGCTGATTAGTTGGAGATAAGAGGCTCATTGACTTCCTGCCCAAGCTGGCTGTGAACCACAGTCCTCAGATTTGAGGATACTGTGTAGTGCCCTTGGCTTGCTGTGGGACACTTCTGTCCTATTTACCACCAAAAAATAAAGAGAACCTGCTAGCCTTGAATTAAAAAAATACTTGGACGTCTAATTCTGGTACTAATAAATTGTACACACTGCTTGATCTATTAAAAAAAAACAAAACAAAAAACCAAAAACAACTTATGCGCAGTGACCAGGTAATAAGGATTCCTGACTGATAACCTGAACTCATTTCCCAAAGCCTTTTTTAGATATATATGGTCATTTGTGTCAGCTGAGGAGAGATTAAAGAACAAGGCTTTACAGGCCAGTTGCTCATGACTTGGAAATCAGGATCCATTGGCAAAGCTTTTCAGAGAATGACTAAAAACTCACTCTTCACAATTCCAAATGGTTTTTTCCTCTGTGCAAAGGAAAGAGAGATGAGAAGGAAGAAATATGGGAAACTAAGAACCCTCAAACAAGGTAAGTTATGTTAACTTTATTAGATAAAGTAAAACATAGTTGTACAGTGTGCAATCCAGAAAAGGACATGTCACTTCTGTGTGGATCCAAGTGAATTTAGTTAATTAATCGATGGTAAGGAGTAAAACCCACTATTGTATTTACAGAAAGGAGGTACATGGCAGGCAAGTCAGTTCACTAACCTCAAGGATTTTGAACACAAAGGAGTGAAAGTGTTTGACTCTAGCCGGGCGCTGGTGGCTCACGCCTGTAATCCTAGCTACTCAGGAGGCTGAGATCTGAGAATCGCGGTTCAAAGCCAGCCCGGGCAGGAGAAACCGTGAGACTCCTATCTCCAATAAACCACCAGAAAACCGGAAGTGGCGCTGTAGCTCAAGTGGTAGAGCGCTCGCCTTGAGCTGAAGAGCTGAGGGACAGCGCCCTTGCCCAGAGTTCAAGTCCCACGACCGACAAAAAAAAAAAAAAAGAAAGTGTTTGACTCTGTTTGGGCAACAGGAAGGAACAGAGCTGAGGAGGACTGAGATGTGCAGACGTTCCCCAAGAAAGATCTCACTGACATCAAGTCCTCAGATGCATGCTGGTTGTCAGTGGCTCATGCTTGTAATCCTACTCAGAAGGCTTAGATCTGAGGATTGTGGTTTGAAGCCATCTGGGATAAGAAAGTTTGTAAGTATTTATGTTTTACAACTCAAGAATATTCGTATTTGTTGCTAATTGCAACCCAAGGCAGTGCAATGGGATACCAAGCTGAAGAAAAT